ACATCCAGCCGATAAAGCCCTGCATCAGTAGCTGACCAGTAGCATCCTAAGACTAACTCCTAACTGGCTAGTCCCACTCTAGTGCACTGCAGAAATATTCACAACTTCCCCTAACCTACAACCTTAATGCTCGACCTCCATAATTCCCTGTCAAAGGCCATGCCCTCAGTAATCCTAAGTCGCGCCATGTCCAGCCTAATTACCTCTCCCCAATACTTCTTAGGTCTCCCTCTACCTCTCCTCGTGCCCACCACAACTAGTCGTTCACACCTCCTCACCGGTGCATCAGTGCTCCTTCTCTGAATGTGCCTGAACCATCTAAGTCTTGCTTCCCGCATCTTGTCCTCCATGGAGGACACGCCCACCTTCTCTTGAATATCTTCATTCCTAATCTTATCCATCCTTGTATGCCCACACATCCACCTCAATATCCTCATCTCTGTTACTTTCATCTTCTGGATGTGTGAGTTCTTAACCGGCCAACACTCGGTCCCATACAACATGGCAGGCCTAACCACTGCTCTATAAAACTTACCTCTTAGTAACAGTGGCACTTTCATGTCACACAGGACTCCCGATGCTAACCTCCACTTCATCCACCCCACCCCTATACGGTGTGTGACATCCTCATCGATCTCCCTGATCCCCTGAATAACAGACCCAAGGTACTTGAAACTACTCCTCTTAGGAATGACTTGAGAGTCAATCCTCACTTCCACTTCCGCTTCCGTCGGCTAGACCCCAAATTTGCACTCGAGGTATTCCATCTTCGTCCTGCTCAACCTGAAGCCTTTAGACTCAAGGGCATGTCTCCAAACCTCTAACCTCTCGTTAATGCCACCTCGTGTCTCGTCAATTAGAACTATGTCATCAGCAAATAGCATGCACCATGGTACCTCCCCTTGAATATGATGAGTTAGTGCATCCAACACTAGGGCAAATTGGAAAGGGCGGAATGCAGACCCTTGGTGCAACCCCGTAACAACTGGAAAATACTCGGAGTCGCCTCCTACTATCCTAACCCGAGTCTTAGCTCCATCATACATGTCTTTAATCACCCTAATATAGGCATCTGAGACCCCTTTAACCTCTAAGCAGCTCCATAAGATCTCCCTAGGAACCCTGTCGTACGCTTTCTCTAGATCAATAAACACCATGTGGAAGTCCTTCTTCTTATCCCTATATTGTTCCACCATCCTCCTAATAAGGTGGATGGCTTTTGCGGGAGATCGCCCCGGCATAAACTCGAACTGGTTGTCTGAAATAGACACCGTCCTTCTCACTCTCATTTCTACCACTCTCTCCCAGACTTTCATGGTATGACCCAGTTATTTGATACCCCTATAGTTGTTACAGCTCTGTATATCACCTTTGTTCTTATACAACGGAACCATTGTACTCTACCTCCACTCTTCAGGCATCCTATTAGTCTTGAATATAACATTAAACAACCCAGTAAGCCATTCCAAGACTGCTCTACCCACACACCTCCAAAGTTCAACTGGAATTTCGTCTGGCCTGGTAGCTCTGCCCTTCACATCTTACGCATTGCCTCCATGACCTCATCGACCTCAATGTCCCTACAATAACTTAATTCACGGGGACTGTCGGTCTTCCTCAAATCACCTAGTACGAACATGGTAAGCAAATCTCATCAAATTGAACCAAAATCGATTCAAATCCTTGACCTTTCTGCTATTCCGTCTATATTCATCCTTTGTTCTATTATGGGTACGAATCTCTATGTATTTTCTGTTGATTCTTACTTACCCTAAAACTAGGGTTTATAGATCTCTTCAAATCGAACCAAAATTGGTTCAAATATCTGATTTTGAGTATTATTTTTGTCTATATTCGTCCTATTCTGTGTGAGTTTGATTTTTTGTTTAGGTTCTGTCGATTTTTTACTTTCCTTAAAAGTTAGGGTTTACACATCTCTCTCTTAAAATTGATTTTCAGATAAATTTGCATGATTATTTACTTTGTTAGTTGCTTAAATTACTGGGTTTCCTTGTTTGTTGCTTGATTTTTACTACTATATAAACCCTTCCCCCATTCCCTTTTAGACAGACGAGAATCGCTATAATCTCACTAAAATTTAAAGCTCTATTCTGTTATTCCTTCATTATCTCGTTCTATACTTTGGTTCTTGGCCAGCTGAAAGCCAATGCCACCGAAATTCTGGGTTCTTGCTCTTCGTTGATATTCAGAATATTGTGGACTTCTATTCTTTCTTATTTTTTCACTTAACTAGTGAGTTAGTAGACTTCGTAGTTTCATTCCTATGTATCTATGATTTGCATATGTTTTCATGCCTGGAGTTTTTGCTTAATGTGTTCTTTCGAGTTGTTTTGTGTGATATTCTATTTGTTCTACTTCAATTCTTAGCTCTCCTTAACTTTTAACTTCATATTGATAGTTTAAAGCATGCCTAAACCTGATTTGAGTAAATTAGATCCCTTTCAAGCTTACTTAGCCTATGTGTTGCAATTTACTGGTGTTTAGGACCTTTGCATCTCTTTGTTGTTTAATTTTTCTATCAATCTTGTTACTTGAACGTGCTTTACTTACATGATTTGTATCCCTTTTACTAGACTAGCTAGTTGTGTTCAAAAGCATGAATGTATATATCAACTATATAGCATAAGTCTGTCCCCTGTCCTATTCTGAATTTGTTATGATGATATCCTACCTATGTAGCATGTTTGATCCTGCTCCTTATTAGTATGTTTCTAACATTCCCAGTAGTTGCAATGATCTGTTCTCATCCTGTCTAAATTCTGTTGCCAATTAATGTGATTCCCTCTTGTAACACTAGTACCTATACTTAGCACAATTTGAACCTTTTCCTCACTATGAGTCTGTGTACACCAATCCTGCATATGCACTAGGTATTCAACTTGTTCTTCTGAATCTTTGCTAGTCCGCTCTTAAGACCTAAAGCATGTTCGATTATCTGCTTTATGTGTTCAACTTGACTATGTTTTATATCCTTCACTGATGTCCATCAACCTTAGTTTACTCTCTTTCACCTGTTACCTGGGCTCTTTTGAGTTCTCATTCTTATCTGGCTGAAAGCCAAGGCTACCTAAGCTCTATTATTGACCTCCCTAGTGTGAGCACTGCTCGGTGTCCAATTTAGACTCTTGCGAACTCTGACACACTAGGACTTGATCCTTAGTCATTCCCTGAATCTCCTCTGTTAGCCTTTCTAGTGTAAGCACTGCTTGGGGTCTATTTTAAAACCCTTGTGAACTCTGACACACTAGGGTCTAAGGTTCCTTGGCACTCTGTCCTAAATGCTTCATCCTACCCCCTTTCTACCTACTGAAAGAGCCAATAGGCTTGTGTACATGGCTCTTTTCTGAATTTTTGATGGCTACTGGGTTTTGGCTATGAAGATTATTTGCTGGGCTGTTGCAAAACTATTTGGACTTGAGATTGAAGGCCTGGCCTGGCCGGGTATACTTGGGCCTACCTTAGGCCTACTATAGCTATTTTGTAATTTATTTCATTCATTAGGCCTGTAATAATACTGTAATAACAATTGGGGTGTTAGTAAAATCGGGAAAATGGGTTTATTTTAATATTTGCATGAAATGGATAGAAATCCTGCCTATATGTATTTAATTTGCTCAAACATGTTCTGCTACTGTGTGTGTTAGATAACCTGCCTATATGTATTTAATTCGTTCTGCTTCTGCATGTTTGTCAGATATCATGCCTATAGGAAATAAAGTGACCAATGTTTTAATTTGCATTACGGCATATCCATTAGACATTATGACCATAGGGTCATGATAGTTTATGTTCTACAAATCTGTATTTTAGAAATCATGCCTATATGGTTTTAATTGGTTAATGTGCTGTTGTTGTAACTACTCACTTAGGAGACATGCCTATAGGAGCTAAAACCATTTTTAATAGCTAATTGTAGAAATCCCGCCTATAGGATATTCCCACTCGCTTTTAAGTACTAATATTGAACTTTCAACACTATTTTGTTGCCACTATTAGAAAGCATGCCTATAGGATCAAACCGAGTAATTATGAACGTCTTCCATAGTTATCACTGTCAACTACTGCACATAGATATATGTCTAATTATAATCTATAATTTTAGTAATCAGTATGCAATACTAGATTCCCTAAGATATATAGTTATTCAGAAAGCATGCTTCTAAAGTAGCACCTTGCATATGAAATTGTCTGCATGTTTAAATTCCAAGGTCACATAGAAACCATGTCTATAGGGCTTAATGGCTTTGACTCATCTCAATTTTGAAACTGTCAAATGCCTAATTCGTTTGCGTGCATTTGTTGTTTAAGTGTGGAGGCTAACTTGAGCCCTTAATTGCTTTTACATGAAGTCCAACTTGTTTTGTATGTCGCCTAGTTTTCTCATTTTGAGCAACCTAAGATAAGTCTAGAACCACCCAAAATAGAGGTTCAAACGCCTCCTGGACCATAGGCATGAGACTGTTAGTGCACGTATAAGGTACGACTTAGAATCAAATAGTGCTCCTTAAATAACAACTTAAAAATAGTAATCGGGTAGCAGGAGATGATAGTCTGTGCCCGCTGAATAATACGAGTACCACCCCATATCGAGAGAGTTATGAAGTATTATTTATGTTGCACAGGGTGATCCTTTAGGCTAAAATATTTAGGACCCTCCTCCCATCTTGTCGTAAAATCAATTGTTTCGTTTAGTGGTAGATTTTTTGATAATAATTGCCCAACGTCTTGTCTTTCCCTCTTGTTTTGGACTAACTCATATAATTCGAGTTCGACTGGGACCCACAGTTGTGGACCTCGAGGAATGCCTAACACCTTCTCCTCGAGGTAATTTGAGCCCTTACCCGATCTTTGTTGATGCAAATTGGTTAAACCTGAGTTATTTGCAAATAAGTGCCCTAATGCACCTCAAACTCGTTAGGTGGCGACTCTTCTTTTTTAACACCTTCCTTAAAAGAGTTGTCACATGTCGAAACCCAATTTCACGAGAAAAAGGGGCACGACACTTGGTATAAGCTGGGGGGGATGACTCTCATGAGATGTATCCATAGTCGTCCTACTATGGCATTGTATACGGTTGCCTGGTTCATGATGTGGAATGTTGTCTCTAGTGTTATGCCACCGGCCAATACGGGGAATTTACTTTCTCCCGATGTCCGCTCAACTACATTATTAAAACCGGTTATGGTAATGCAGCGTGGCACTATCTTGTCCTCGAGTCTCATCGGGGTGAGGACTCGGGGATGGATAATGCACGCTCCACTTCCATCGTCTACTATGATACATTTGACATCAGTATCTAAAATACGCAAAGTAATAATGAGAGCATCATTATGAGGGAAAGTCAAACTGGCGCCATCTGACTCATCGAAGATGATACTTTCTTCTAGTCCGTCAAATCGTTCGCGGGTGATAGATCCTTTAAGTTTGTGAGTGGTGGTGAATTTAATGTCTTTAATGGAGGCATCGTCGCTGCCATGGATGATCATGTTGATAGTACAAGCTGGTGATGGCGGCTTAGGCGGACCTTGGTATTCGCGTCCTCTAGCAAAGTTATTTCTCCCCTTATTACTCAGCAGCTCTTTGAGGTGTCCTTGCCGCAACATGTTTACAAATTCTTTCCTGACGGCGATGTAATCTCCTATTTTATGTCCACGCTCCCGGTGGAACTCGCAAAGGGCGTCAGATTTTCTGGTGCTCGGATCAGACCTTATCTTTGGCGGCCACTTCACTTTCGTTTCGAGTTTCTCCAGAGCATAGACTATTTTTGTAGGTGACACAAAATTTTTGAGCAGATAATAAGGGGGCATACCTCTTTCATTCCTGTGAGTCTCTGTCCTCGACATGTACTGGCCTTCTTCATAGCGAAGGGAAGGTGGGGCGGGGCCCTGTCATATGACTAGTACCGTTCCCTGTTGGGTTGTGAGACCGGGTGATCCCTCTTGATGTTGTCTCTTCGTTCTTTTTTGGACTCGACTTGTACTGAGATGAGTCAATGGATTGGTCCATTGAGGTCATCCTCATCTGCTCGGAATTCAACACAGTAAGTGTTATAGATCTCGTCCCAAGTGGTTGGAGGATATTTGATCAGCCGGCTCAGTAGTTTTCTAGTTGCTCTCGAACCATCTCTACACAACCCGTTCTGAAAATCCATGAACGCCATCCCCTCGGACACGTTCGGTAAGGTCATCCTTAACCTGTTGAATCGGGCAAGGAAGTCCCTATCCTAAGGACTGCTTGATGGCGAATATGTCGTTTACTTTTTTTTCGTCCTTCTTAGCTCCGGCATGCGCCGTTACGAACTTATCGGCCATTTCCTCGAATGTTTCTATGGAGCGGGGTTGGTGGTTGTGAGTACCATATTAATGCCCCTCCCGTGAGGGTTTCGCCAAACTTCTTTAACAAATTAGAGGACACTTGTTCCCTAGTGAGGTCGTTTCCTTTCACGGCGGTGACATTATTAGTCACATGATCTCCTGGATCATTCATTCCATCGTATATCCTGAGGTAGGGCGGCATTTTGAAGGTCTTTGGTATGGCATGTAGGGCTGCTTCTTCGCTGTATGGCTGCTCCATGAACCTACCAACATCCCTCTTTGGCAATAGCTTAAGAGCGCCCGGTATCTTGTCGACTCGTTCTTGGTGTTCTTTCATTTGATCCCTGAGTACTTTGTTTTTATTCTCCATTTCTGCCATCCTCCATGGAACAATGGCGAGGGCGTTGTCACCTGCATTGTTGGTTAAACCTAGTGTTGGAGGGTCTGGTCGGTCACCCTGTTCGTCTACTTGTTGTATTGCGTAGGTTTTTGCAGTATCTATAGTCGTGCATAGAGTGGGCTTGTTGAGCATGCTCACTAGCGTATCAGTTAGTCATGCTTTGAGGAGCTTCTTCACGGCGGGTGGCGTCCCTTCTTCTGTAGACGTGGAGGCCCTTTTTCCATATGGTTTTATTATGCTATAATGGGGGAGGGATGACGACCTCTCGCGCCTGGGGGAGGCAGTGGGCGTCACTTCCTCGCCTAATGTCTCACAACTCTCATTGATAGCATTCATGAGGTTGTTAGGGAAGTCACCTGTTACTTTATCCCCCTCTCCTTGATTACCTGCCATGTAGGTTTTTGTACGTGCAAAGAAAGAGAAAGATCTTGGGGTTTTTGAGGTTAGTGACTCATGTTAGCGGTAGATCTAAAGGAAACTAAAAAATTAACTAAGAAATCTCCACAGACGGTACCAAACTGTTTGGCCAAAAATATAGGTGTTGGTTCAAACAATTAGATTTATATAAAGAAGAGTTAATCTTAGTTAAAAATAATATCCAAAAAATAAAGCTACCGATGTTATGACAAGATAACTAGTACTGTATATTTTGTCCGGATAGTAATTAATATGAGCAATGATAACAATACTCAATGATCTAAAAAGATGGAATATGACATTCAATAGTAATAAATGACATTTAAGTAAGTAAAATGTATGAGTCACCTGAAAAGATGAGATCAATGGTTATTCTTTGTGATAATGATGAATGATTGATATGCCTTTGAACACTTAGGTTATTCTTGGGTGGAAATGCTAGATAAGAATCTTGGTAAAAAGTTATTTTTGTATGCTTGCAATAAGACCATGTCCTCTCTATAAAGTCAATGTATTTTTACAAATGAATATCTCATGTCCCCTATCATTATGTCTTTTTTCTATTTATAGGGAACATGTTCCTAGAAATCCTAATAGTACAAGTACAGAGAATATTCACTAGAATATTCTCTTTAATGTCCTATCTTGGAATTAGTCGTTATAACTCTGTCAATGATGTTCGACCTCGGCCTCGATCTTTGATGACTCCTCGACCTTAATTCTTGCTAACTTTTCAACTGCAACCTTCATTGTTTCTAGAGCCACTTCGGCCCCGGGAAGATCTCTATCAAAGTCGCATTGGTGACACCGGGCGGCCTGTGAATGCCTCATTAATACTATCATGACTTAAGTATATTAGAGATAATTTTTGATCCATACAGCGTATATACTATCGTTTACAAATTCCACGTATAGAAATACTATGAATATATTATTGTTGTTGATATATATAATATACTGATTCCCTTCACGCAAGTTAAAAGCTTAACTGTATGGTCATGAGGTTCAAATTTTCTAAAAGATTAGAGGTCCAGTTCCATTAAGCGCAGTTCTAATCCTATTAAATTTTGAATCTGCTTCGTAAATATTCTACCTCTGCCACCACTAATAAATGGTAATGGAACACCGCTGGGTCTAAGTTGATAGTAGTGTATGGAATAATTTTGAAGTTACAGAGCTTGCACCCTTTGGGTCTCCACTAATATTCTTGTTTTGGATGGGAATCAACCGATTGAAGCATCGAAAGCAGAATATAGGTCCACACTACCAATTGATTCTTCAAATGAAAGCAAATAGAGCCAAGCAAGGAGCCACCAAGCATATGGATTCCCAAAGAAAATCAATAAATTATCATAATAATACTTTTAATATAAAAAATGTTTTGTAACCTTGAGAGCAGTGCTCTTACCATATACTCCATAAGCGGCATAATATTCACTAAATTTTAAGCGGCATAAGTACATGGATAAAAGCGTGCACAACTTAATTTGAACACCATTTGTATACAGAGTAATCCCTCTATCTCATATTATGTAGTGTGTTTCTCTTTTACACGCCCCTTGAGAAATATTAATTAGAAAAGGGATTGGACTATTCTACCCTTATTTATATCATAAGATACAATCTCTCTTCATTGAATATTTATTCTATTTATGTGTTATCTCTATTTTTAAGAACAATTATTACTAACGGTAAAAAAGAGAAAAATAATCAATTTTATCTTAAACTTTTAAAATAATAAGTAATTTGAGACAACTATTTTTAGTAACTACAACTGTTAATATGAGACGAAGGAAGTACTAATTTTTCTTCAAATCAAATATCTTTACTTGGTTAAACGTTAATAGATAAAATTATCCAATACAAACAAAATATGGGCGAAATAACCACCCTCATAAAAAAAGAAAATCTTTTACTTGTGTGGGTAGGATTAGGACTTAGGAGGTATCTATTCCCATTCAAAGTTGAATACGACATGTTAAGGTACTCCCTGGGCAGCAATATTCTATTTCTATTACAATTGTACCCCTCGTCCCATAAGCTGACTAAAGTGAAACTCTCCCTCTAATCCAAGGGTATTTCTGTCCATTCGTACAAGGGCGGCGAAGACCCAACACAGTATATATATTGACCCTTCGCCAATTTTAGGTTTTGAATTCATCATATCAAAAGCGAACAAAAAAAGGGAGAAGATGATAGAGGTGGTGTTGAACGATCGATTGGGGAAGAAGGTGAAGGTGAAGTGCAACGAAGATGACACCATCGGCGACTTGAAGAAGCTGGTTGCTGCTCAGACTGGTACACGCGCTGACAAGATTCGTATCCAGAAGTGGTACAATGTCTATAAGGACCATATTACCCTTAAGGATTACGAAATTCACGATGGCATGGGCCTTGAGCTCTACTACAACTAATTCAATAGGTAACTTTTGGAATTTGAGGGTTTTTTTTGTGTTACTTTTGGAGTGTGATCTGATGTTTTTTTTTTGTTTGAGCTAAGAAACTTCTGTTAATATGAATTATGATTGAGTTTTTACTCCCCTTTATGATCAACTGATTTTATGAATAATGATGTTGTGTTTAGTTGAAAATTTGGGTTTGATCTGTTTTTTTATGTTTTGGTTGGCTTGGAATTGATTTGTTAATTTGCGTATGTGATTGAGTTCTTACTCCCCTTTTGGCGATACAACATATGTTGTTGGGTATACGAAATTTTTATGCAATTTGAGGGTTTGATGGTCTGAACTGTTGTAGTATTCGTGAATGCATCCCTCTGTATTTTGAGGGGGCAACGAGTTGAGAATTTTATTAAGGCTATGCCAAAGCTTTGAGAAATCCCAAAACTTTATTCAAATTGTAAGATGTGGAAAAGGTGTTTATTCCCAACTGGCTGTTGCAACTTCTTGCTAAAACCATGTAGCACGATATCAAATATTTAGTTGTGCACACACTTGTATGATACCATCGAGTTGGTGTCTTTTCTCTTTTACAACCGCAATAACAGTGGCTCAGCTTGATACAACTTGGTGTTTTCTCTCTTTTAGTTGTAAAAAAATATCTTGAAATTGGACTGAGGTGCTTTTTTTGTTGTTGGTGGTGGTCGCTTGAGTCCTTGGATAAACACCCAGAAGGACACCATACTTGGATACCATAACCTTTAAACTGTTTATGATTCGGAAAGTTAGAAGTTATGCAATCTTCTGCCTTGAGTTATTTCGGTTGTTTTTGGTGACAGTCATGTACTTATGACTAATGAAATATGCTCTCAAGTTATTAAAGAAAACGTCTTTTAGTGCCATATTAGGATGTATGCAAAATATATAAAAACGAACAAAGAAAGAAGTTATCTCCTAATAATAGTGTCTTCGCGTATTGACTACTTTTCAGCGTATCCTTGCTACATCTTTGGTGCTCAATGCTTCTTTATTCAGGTAGCAGGGGCTCAATAAAAAAGAAAAAGTTACATTCCTCATTGAACTTTAAAAACCATGAAATAACGCGTAATATCAAACTATATCAGAGCACTGAATCCCTCGGTGCTCATGCTTGTCTATTCGGGTAGCAGGGGCAACTGCATATGCACAGCCTTGCCCACCCAAACTATTTGTTCTCAATAAAGCTCACCTCCATTACTTTGATGAGGCAAGCAGAATGAGTGGTTTTACTCATGATGCTTTATAGAATTAAGAGTGCCTAGTCTTTAGGTATCAGTGAGCTGTTGGTTTAGGCTTCCAAGAGAATCATTTGTCTTTAGAGCAAAGCACCTTGAATAGAGGATGTGTGGACGTAAAATGAAACCAGGGATATTCCATGAATGCTCAATGTGAGACATTCTATGTGGAAGACAAGGTATGTGGTTCTGCCCACCATGTTGCCCTGACTTTGTGCTGTATTCTGAAATTTCAGAGGATTACTCTTATATAGTAGACCACTTATTTTGTAAGATTGTGATAGAGGATCTTCTACTGAATTGCTGGTGTGAGATTGCGGGAGCAAGTTTTGGTTTGATTGTGTTTCCAGAGCATTGTTTACTGTAGCATATCTATGTATTACTCTTGGCAGTTGATATTCATTATTTCCATTTCTTATTTTAGGTTTATTTTGTGATGGAAATACACTGGAGAGACGTATCTGAGGTACCATGTTCTGAATAAAAGCTTGATCATTGGTTTGTAATGAGAAGTACGACATATTTAATCGACTCTAAGGAAAATGCTCAACTTTGTGAATGCCATGTAACTGGTTGGTATTTTGCCTTGTGTGCAAGGAATTATATCTGTGCTTAGACTTTTTCTCACTAGAAAAACTGAGGTGGGATGTTACCTTTGGCTATGTAAAATAATAGAATTTGTGACTGAGCTTCCTTGTTCTTTTTTTTTTGGTTTGTTTGTTTAAAGTAAACTGTTGACTTACCTCTAAAGAATCTGAACTATATTCCAGAAGTTTTAACAAATGCAGAACATTTTCTTAATCTCATGGGTCAGGTTTTGGGATGGGTAAAATTATTTGGGTCATGGGGGTCTTCTTTTACTTTAAATTAACGATTGATATTGTATGAAACAAAATGAAAGTGGTGTGATTTTGTTGTAAGAAAAATAAGTTTGATGATTTTACCGCATGTGGTGTGTACTTTATGTTCAGATTCAGTGGCCTTTTGTGAAATTAATCCAAAAGCTCTGCTGTCATGGTAAACATTTAATTTGACTGATATACTGGGAAATTTAATAACCTTGAGTACTATTTTAATTCTAGTTTTTTTTGGTCTAATAACTCGGTATCCAAAATCTATTGGCTAAAATAGTAGGAATAAAGTATTGTGATGATACCCGCTGTTCCATCACAAAGTTTTCTGAAAATACTTGTTACCTCACACTTTTTTAGGATAATGGTTCTACCAATATTTTACTCGAATTCTTGGTATCAAACCATAGTGGTCTTTGACCCCTCTAAGTGAGTTTAGATGTTGAGGAAGTTCTTCTCGATCAAGCTTTCAACAGTGTCCTTCACGCTCAATTCAAGACATGTGCAATTGATGCCTAAACTTTTTGCTCTTTCCCCTGATATTTGGAAGGTTGGTGTAAGGGGCAATCCATCTTCAAAACTACATCCAAATATAAGAATTATGATTACCTCAAAAGTTGCTTTAAATAGAACAAAAAAAAAGAACTATTTAACCATAAGAAAGTGAAACATGAATGACTATAAGCCAGTGTGTAAATAGTCCACTTTTAATCCCAAATGATTATTTTAAATTTTATTTATTATAACAAGAAATGGCAATACTTGCTTCCCAGGGATGGTGATGGAAGGGTAAAGCTTATGTACAATCTTCAAAAGCGAAGAAGTGTATCCGTTTACCCCAACTAAACAATATCTTCCATTTGCTGAAGGAACCTCAAATGCTAGAATATATGCATTAGCAACATCCCTAACATCGACAAATTTATATATTCCACCAGTCCATGCTTCTTTTCCTACATCCAATTAAGCCAATGTTTTAAAAATGCATTTATTATTTATCAAAAGAATATCTCAAGGTGTCAGTTGAACATGCTTACCTTCTTTTATGAAGTTAACTATAGACTCACAAGATGAATTGAGCATAGTCTGTAGAAGTGGACCAATGACTAGACCGGGATGAAGTGTAACCAAATCAATCCCATTTTCTTTTGCAAATTCCAAAGTAGCTTCTTCAGCCAGGGTCTTGGAGAGTTGGTACCATTGCTGCAAATTAAGAGAATGCTGATATATTCTAGTATTACTTCCTCATATATAAGGACACATACTTAGCATCTCAAGACGGATAAGGCTTTGTTTCACAATTGGTACAATAGGGATTGCAGAATTAAGTAAATTTCTGGTATAAGAACCATATCTTACTTGGGCACATTAAGTTCAGATAGCACACGCACACACAAATACTAGTGTGTGTCTGTGTATCCTTAACAGATTTAAAAATTCGAACAAATAAGCTATAGTATTATATAGAAGGAAATAGCTTTGATTTTAGTGATGTTAAAGCTTGATTCTAGTGATTCGGTAACATAATGCAATGTAACGTCTAAAAAGATGTCAAACAAGATCCAAACCTCCTGGTATACTAATCAAACGATAAGACTCATCAAATTGAAAAGAACTACCAAAGTCACCTTTCTGGGTCCGAATACCAAGTCTCATCAGCCACAGCTCCAGGAATAAAACGATTTTTGTTTCATATAACAGAAGCAGTAGAAGAAGTTATCACCACTCTTCTGACTGATGGTGATTTGGTACATGATCGAAGGACATTTAATGTTCCTTTTACAGCAGGTTCCACAAGTTCCGCCTGAAAGATGGAAATAGAAAATGTTTTCTTTTTAAAGTTACATATATACAAACATGCTCCTCTTTAAAGACATCTCTTGGACATCAGTACAGTGCTTTATAAATAGAGGACTGCAACAAAGTAGGTTTCTGACCTTGGATTTAGCTGTGAGAGAAACAGGTGATGCTGTATGAAAGACACATTCACAACCATCAACGGCAGGATCAAATGATTGCTCTTCGAGTAACTCAGCTTTGAAAAGATGCAGCCTCTCTTTAGCTCCGTCAAGGCATAGCAGGTGAGCCACTTTGCTTGTATCCTCTGCGTGTTTATAACTAACATTTTAGAAGCACGGAAGCAACACCATGATCACATAAAAATATTGCACCATTTCTCTTCTGTCCTGAATATCAGATGTATGTGAAACCGCACTTTTGATTTGGCTAAAACAATAACAACAACAAGAAGCCCAGTAGTTTCCCACAAGTGGGGTCTTGGGAGGGTAAAATGTACGCAGCCTTACCCCTACCCTGGAAGGGTAGAGAGGCTGTTTCAGATAGACCCTCAGCTTGATGAATGATGACAGCAGAGCTAATAAATTCTCTCAGCTGTGGAAACTGGACGTAAGAAAACAACAATAACGGTTATGTTGTCTTTGCTGCCTCATTCCGCAGCTTTTGTTGCTAACCTCTTTGAGCACATTCCTGGCTCTTTCACTGTGTCTTTGATTATGTTCACTACATCTGTCTCACTAACAACATCCCAAAGGCCATCACTAGCCGTTACAATGTATTCATAACTGTTCTTGATTTGACTAAAACAAGAACGAAATATACATAGCATTTTCTGATTAATATACATAACATACCTTTGGTTCTAGCCTTAAAGCCAACCAGTTTAGCTTCTTCATATTCAGGGTGTGTTTGGTATTTTGCAAATAATTAAATACCACTGCAAAAGAAATCCAAACACAAACATGGAGAAATTAAAGAGAGAAAACTGACTGAGGTTGCGAACAGTGGCATTGACAGTGTAATCACGTTGTAGCAACAACTTCACAAGCCATGAAGCTATGAAACCAGAGGCCCCTGTCACACATACCACCTTCCCTTCTCCACTACTCTTGCTTTCCATTGCCACATACTAGTTCCAGTGATTCAGAGCCAATGCATATATACTAAGAGGACAATTTCTTGTATTTTTGTTAGCGTGTTTTTTTATTGAATTTGGACATATTATGCTCTTGTTTGCATTCACAAATTAGTCTCCACGTGAAAAGAATCAAAACCATTTATTTATCTTATTGTTGTGCTTGTTTCAGCTTATTCAACTAAGTTACTTAACTGGTTCAGTTTGTAAACAAGTTATACTGGGATTATAATGTAAAAATAGTAATGTGAAAAATTAAATAATGATAAAATTATTTAGTAGATATACTTTTATTGATAGATGTTTGGTTCATATGACTAGAAAAAAGATATATGAGGTATAATATAAATCATATGTTTGATTTTACACTAAATAAACTTGGGTAAACTTTTATTTTAAATTTTAAGTTGCTTTCGTAAAAAACTTTGAGACGAGAGCTTTGAATAAAGGCAAATGTGCCATTTTGAGTTTTACCCCGGTATTAGTAATTTGGAGATAATTATCGCACTTGAAGTATGGTATAAAATTAATACCACAATTGTGGTATAAATAATCCTAGGATTGCTTATGACCGAAATAAAAATTTCAACCAGTAATTTCACATTTTATCCCGAGATTCTTATGAGTACTTGTCTTGTAACCAACCGACCCCTTGCACACTGTCACAGGCTCATAACTCACAAGAACATGTCTCGAATAAGCAGAGTTTTTAACTCTGATGGACGTCTTATCCTCACATTTCAGTAAGCTCAAGAGTTTCACTAAAGAATTATGACCACTAATCTCAGTATAATACCCACTACTATAGAAGGAAAGATAAATTTGATCACTCTTCTTTCTATATGCTCGTTGAACCAACATGCAACAAGTAGAATCCAGGTAAGTAAATAGACATAACATCAGAGAAATCCAGTGCCAGCAGCTCCCAGAGCAGTAAGCACTAATTTTTGGCAATAGAAACAATGTTACAATGCATTCACCTACTGCTTGTTCAAATCTTGAGGAAGTTCTTCTCTATCAAGCTTTCAACAGTGTCCTTCACGATCAACTCAAGAGATGTGAAATTGACGCCTAAACTTTTTGCTCTTTCACTGGATACTTGGAAGGTCGGGATCAGAGGCAATCCATCTTCAAAACTACATCCAAATTTAAGAACTATGAGACCTCAAATTGATTTAAATGGAACAAAAGATTCTTAAAAGAAGATCACTTAAGCTTAAGGAAGCAAAACATGTTCAATTAATATAAGCCAGTGTCTAAATAGTCCACTTCTAAGAGTAGTTGGTGATCCTTTTCAAAAGTTTTAACTACTCAGTAACTGTAAACTTGTTAGATTATTTCTTCTGCCTTTGTTGTTTTCCTATTTTGAATCATCACATCTATTGATGTTTTTTCTCTGCTGAAGAAGAAGATAGTAATGAAAACTAACCAGTATCAAGAGAATTATAACTGTGATATTGGCAATACTTACTTCTCAGGGAGAATGATGGAAGGGTAAAGCTTTTGTACAATCTTCAAAACCAAAGAAGAGTATCCATTTACTCCAACTAAACAATATCTTCCATTTGCTGAAGGAACTTCAAATGCTAGAATATGTGCATTAGCAACATCCCTAACATCGACAAATCTATATATTCCACCAGACCATGCTTCTTTTCCTTCATCAAACAACGACAATATGTCAAATTTTACAAAGGGTTAAATTTGTAATTACAAGAAGTGTTAATTTTTTATAAAAAAAAGGCCCAAAAAAGGGCTAATTGTGCAAATCAGTTGGGCAACGGCACCTTGGCAGGTGACCATTGCCAACGGTAACCAAATAAGCCAATCAACAATTAAAGAAAAAAGAAACTAGTCGTTAACTGGTCTGGGCTGATCCAGTCCGATTTAACCGGTTTTACAGTATTTCTGTTGATCGGGCTTGACCGGTCCGGATAATCGGTTGAAAATAGGTGAACGGATCAAACCCCCTACCCCTTTAACCCAGCCCCATCCGACCCCCTTGTACCGATCCGAGCCGGTTCCGGTTTTAATCGGTTTGGGCCGGTTCGATTACGGTTAAACCCGGCCCGTTAGACACCCTTAGTTACAATTGGTGTCAGCAAATACAACTAACAACAATGTAAAAGATGAAAAGAATACTTTAGTACAGTAGAAAAAATAGAGTTTGAGACTTGATCCTACATTGAAAGAATGTGATTCGAATGACTTTGAAGTGGGCTCAAGTCTTTATTATAGCGGAGAGTGGTGCTTTCATAAATATTTGAGAGTCTTGACCAGTTTGGACTCGTGATCCGCATGGGTTGTTATAAAGGAAACTTACACAGATGTCTCAACTAAGTTTCAACTTAACAACCTCTAGCCATTAGTCATAGACTTACCAAAACTAGCCAACCACATATAAAAGTTGAAAAACCAAATAAATAAGGTTCTTTCTCTCAAATAATCACATGCAAAAATCATCTTCCATATTTTTAAGCGTGATTAGCAACATTAGATGCAAGACGGAAAAAAAATTCCATGGATGAGGTAGCAAATAAGGGGATGAAATAATATATATATATATATATATATATATACAATAATTCCAAATATCTAAGCAAAAAAGGAATTTTTTTCAATGGGTATAGTTGAAATTCATTGAAAACATATAGATAAGTCAATANCTTCACCAAATCATTTCAAATCGGAGATTCAAGCTCCTTAAGATGTACCCAATCTATTCTAATAACACTCGCTCATAAAAAAAGGAATACTTGACCTTTTTTTACTACAAATAGCTAATTCGCTAATATTAGTAATATTTTGTGAATGACCAATTTTTGTAATGAGCTACTTATAAATGTACATAGCTATGAGACAAATTTAGCCCGCGGTCGAAACTATTTACATTTTTAATCACCACAATATTTATGAATTAGCACATGTTTATTACATACACTTTGTGCGTGAATTTTAAAATGTTACAACAATATAATAAAAAAAAATATTTATTTGTTTCAAGAATAAATTAGATATATGGAATATTTTAAATATATTAGAAATAACAAAAATCCCTCATTTTCCCAAATGGATAATGATATTTTTATCTTTTCTAAACATATATACTAGAAATGAAAATCTGTATTTTGTAGTACAAGTTATAGGAACGAATTTTAGACTTACCAATACATTATTTTAACAACAAATTAAAGATCATACATTATATTTAAAAAAAATAAAAAATGTAATACAAAAGTTTGGGATTTATTAAGCTCAAAACTTGCTCTGAACTCGAAAACAGAAAGAAAAAGCCTTTAACTGAACAAGTGACCTCTTAAGACTTCGTAATTTCATTTTCATACCGATTGTAATTTATTTGGTCATTTTCTCCCGAACTCGCGACGATTTAACAGTAGATCCCCCCCTAAAACTCCAGATCTCATACATTTCTCGGCGTCGTTATCAGCAATGTCAATGGATTCAGAAGATCCGATGGACGAGGCATCACCGGTCACCGGACTTCTCCCACTGGCATCAGCTTCACAACAGCCTTACGTCTCCGAACTCCTCTCTTTCACTCTCGATCGCCTTCACAAAGTACTAATTAATTGCAATCTCCGCAAGTTTGAAATGTACTAGTTGATTTAATTTCATTTGAATTGAACTTTTTATTTTAATTTGTGCAGGAACCGGAACTTCTGAGAGTGGATGCGGAGAGAATTCGGAGGCAGATGCAAGAGGTTGCCGTTGGAAATTACCGCGCTTTTATTTCTGCTGCTGATGCACTGCATGCCATTCGCGAAGAAGTTTCTTCTGTTGATAAGCATCTTGAATCCTTGGTAATTTTCATATTTCCTTGCAGAAATTTTGTTAATTGATTTTATTTTGAGTTGTTGAATTGCTATTTTAGCTCTTATATAATTCTGAAAGTGAATTTTAGTGTACTAACGAGATAGTAATCCTAAGGACTAAGTGAGACTGATATTATAAGAATGAGTTATCAGTTGCATTGCTATTATAGCTCGAATATATATCCAGAAAAAGTGTGAGTGGAATAGGCTTAGTGCATGAATCTTTGTTGGTTAATGGCTTTCTTGAATAAGATTTAAACTAACTATACAAAGCTTCTAAAGACCCTTCTGGACAGCTCATTCAATTTAGGGTGTGCCTTATAGTTGGCGTCAATGTTCTGTTATTTCTTTCTGTAAGTGGGAACACACTATTCATCTTTTTCTCGTATAAATTCTTTTTAGGAAGAACAAGGACGTAAACACTTACCATCGTGTTTCTTGTTTGCAGATCGATGAGATTCCTAAGCTAACATCTGTTTGCAGCGAGTTCAGCACCTCTGCAGAACATATCTTGGAAAAGAGGAAAATGAACCAAACATTGCTTGCAAATCATAGTACTCTGCTGGACTTGCTTGAAATTCCTCAGCTAATGGACACGTATGTTTTCGTCAATGCTGTAAGGATCACACGTTAGAATTGAATCGGTATCCATGATTTTGAAGGGATAAAATGTCCTTGGTATTTGCTTTTGATGTAGATTACATTCCAAAGTGCCGTTTATGTGTGTGACTGGTAAATTTGCGAGAGGGTTCATTTTGGTGCAAACATTGTAGCCAAGTTATCATATCCAACTTTTTTTTTTATATTTTTTTTTTTTATATTTTATGAGGGAGGGATAGCCTAGTGGAAAGGACCTTTTACCTCAAACATGAGGTTAGGGATTTGAATCACCAAGAGAGTAAAGTGAGAAATTGTCGTTTGCTCCTATGCATAGGGGTTTGGGGTTGTGGTTTAGCATGTGAAAATGATCAAGTTTCGTGTTTATCTGGGCGATGAACAAAGTTGTGTAGTTCTGCACTCAAGGATGTGGCCTAGTGGTCAATGGAGTGAGTTGAGAACCATGAGGTCTCAGATTCAAATCCCAGCGGAGAAAAAAACACTCGGTGATTTCTTCCCATGTTTCCAAGCCTTGGTGGAAGAGTTACTTGGTACCTGTTGCTGGTGGGACGTAGCTGGTATCCCGTGGTATAAGTCGAGGTGTGCGCAAGCTGACCCGGACACCACGATTATTAAAAAAAAAAATGTCATGTAGTTCTTGGAGCCATTACAGCTGCCAAACCTGGAGCTTCAGCCTGAATTATCTTGCATAGCACAGCCATGCTAGGAGTCAAGCTTGAAAAGAAGTTTTATGTGTCAGAACATAATATGTATAATTGTTAGTACTAAACAGTATCATTATTTTAACCTGCTGTGCTTCATTGGTGCTAGACTTAATGAATCTCTTCACTTTGCAGATGTGTGAGGAATGGGAACTATGATGAAGCTCTTGATTTAGAAGCATTTGTTTCCAAGCTTTCAACAATGCACCCCAAGTGAGTTCTTTTCTTTGGTTTCCAGTATGAACTGATTTTAACTGAATTTGATGAAAAATTATTAAGGTACTTTTGCTTCTTTTTCATCCTCCCCTGAAGGTTACCAGTCATTCAAGCACTTGCTGCAGAAGTTCGGCAGACTACCCAATCTCTTCTTTCTCAGCTTCTCCAAAGACTTAGATCAAACATTCAGGTGACTTCTCGCATAGATTATGTATATCATGTTACAGTGATGCTATTGACGCATACTTGAATGGAAGTTCTCCATAAATTATGAAGCTTGAGACCTTACTGTTTACAATTTATTGGTGCAGTTGCCAGAATGTCTGCGTATCATTGGATACTTGCGTCGAATAGGGGTGTTCAACGAGTATGAGATGCGCTTACAGGTGAGACTGATTCATTTCAACAACACCGGGTTTTACGCCTACACCTACATCTTCCATTTGCTTTTGGTCTTCATTAATTGCATTTGGTTCATTATTTTTACCAATAGCTGACCAATTTTGCCCCTTCAACAGTTTCTAAGATGCCGTGAGGCCTGGCTTTCTGGAATCCTCGATGACTTGGACCAGAGAAATGCTTATGAATACCTTAAAGGGATGATAAATTGTCATCGAATGCATCTCTTTGATGTTGTTAACCAGTACCGTGCAATATTTGCTGATGATACTTCAGGGAGGGAAGAAAACTATGATGGTGGGCTTCTCTTCAGTTGGGCCATGCACCAAATTTCTTCCCACCTCAGAACTCTAAAAATGATGCTACCAAAGATCACTGAAGGAGGTTCTTTGTCGAACATTCTGGATCAGTGTATGGTGAGCACATATTTATCTGTGCCAGACTGCTCATTTGGAATCATTTTGCTTTAGTAAAATGCCTATTTGTCTAAAAAAAAGAGAGTAAAAGTCTTGGCTGTGATTGACCTTGATGTCTTCTGCTTGCAATCACCTTGAATGCTAAATACGTGAAAGAAAAGGTATAGCGTTATGAATACAGAGCAACGCGATCCCAGAAATGGTTGGAGAAAGATAGCTTTTAAGTTTGTCCTTACCATTCAAGTCTCTTGTTGCACTTTGGCCATCCTGCTAGAAGCATTCTAGATCAAGATTTTGACATGATTCTGGAGAGGCAAAAAGCAGGCAAATGTATTTTCCTCTCTCTCTCTCTCTCCCTCTATCTCTCTCTCCCTCCCTCTCTCTCTCTCTCTCTCTGGTGGGGAAGGAAGGGGAGTGGTGTAGCACAAAAGCAAAAAAGCATACTTACCTTTGGGTAATCTCATCTGATGAGCTAGTCCTAAGGGCCATATAACTCAAAATCTAGACAGCAACCTAAAAGAGTAGAGTTGAATTCCATCCGTTTGTTTCCCTCTAATCGCTTTGCTTTACTCGGTCAATTTCAATTCTCAACCTATCTCTTTGTCACGTTT